AATAAATCCTATATTACTAGTATTGAAATTAGTATTCTTTAAAGTCTTAACTCAGTAAAGGCAAAAGTGCGCGTAAATTGTTTTCTTCAAAATGATCATTTTGTACATAGGAATACTTTACCTTCAAACGAATTTTTCTATGTAAAGACTGTTTAACGTCACTAAGTAAATTGGTAAGATATATGATGTATGAACAGTAGATATATCTAAAGAGAAAATTAATTGTCTACAAAGAGAAGTGATGGACACTTTACTGTATACTCACAGCATGGTATACATTTAATTTGTGTTTAAATATACCTTGTTAAGTGACAAATGTTAAACTACTAGATGACATGTAAACCTTTGATATTCTTTCTTTCTGTCTAAAAGAATAAAATTTACATGAGAATTTTAATGTTTCTAAGGCATGTCGAAGTTACGCTGGGATACAACTAATGCGACATTTAAATTCATCTAATGAACGTAATCAGTGTCTGATGTTATTTGATAAGTTATAGCTTTGTAGTGTTAGTTAGTTTAAGGCAAAAAACTAAAACATTTCTAACAATTAGAAATATTCTTTTGCATTACATGTTGTGAAAATTTTCGAGTTTCACGTGCAAATATCAGATTTAAGGTTTCACTTGGAAAAGAATTTGTTTAACGCTTTGATAGTCATGCAGAGTCAAATTGTGGTCTATCTACTCTAAGTTTTTCATAAATGGATTCCATTTTGTAAATTTGAGCAGAGAAAGAACAAACATTGGAGCAGAATGACATGAATCTTAGTTCTGATTAACTCATAAGCAACATTTCCAGGAAAAATACCTTGTGTTTCACTCTCAATGAGTATTTTGCTATTATTTCTTTATGCCTTTGCATTCCGAGTGGAACGTACGGCTTCAAGGTTTGAGCTTTGCAGTTTAAGTAGCAGTGGTGTTCTTCCTATATGAGGGGTGGGGTTAAAGACCTCACGCTAAACTTTCCCTCTTCACCAGGTTTATTGCCAACCGAGCGAAATTCAGGACTTCGTCAGCTGTGAATCAAACTCTAGGCTTATGAGTGCTTGGAGAGCATTCTAAGCTGAACTACCAACGTGCCAAGAATTTTATCACGCATGGGAAATTACCATCTATCATGCTTGTGTGATAGAGAAGATTTGTAGCTCAGGTGGATGATTTTGATGTAGTTGTGATCTCTGTGGTAGATGGTTTATTTGCGAATGTCATCTACGCAACGTATCCAAATGTTAGGTTTGATCTTTGGTGTGATTATGTTTCGAGCCTTCGCATCACTGCTTCTGCAACCAGACCTGATATTCGCCATCCCATGGGTGTTCCTTTAACTTGTTCAAATATTTGGCCGTTGAATTGGAAGTACGTTGTTAGGCATAGGCTTATGCATTCCATCCAAACTGTGTGTTACATTTTTGTTTGTTGTGGGAGTTGTTTGTCATTGCTGAGTAACTGCTCTGTTGTCTCTTTTGCTAGTTTCTGTCCAACTGAAGTATATAATGCTGTGATCTTTACCATTATTTCTTGGTCATCTGTTTGAATACTTATGAGAGAGACCATGGAGCAGTCACTCAGCAATGACAAACAACTCTCGCAACAAACAAAAATGTAACACACATGTTGGATGGAATGCATAAGTCTATGCATAACAACGTACTTCCAATTCAACGGCCATATATTTGAACAAGTTAAAGGAACACCCATGGGATGGCGAATATCAGGTTTGGTTGCAGAAGCAGTGATGCGAAGGCTCGAAAACATAATCACACCAAAGATCAAACCTAAAATTTGGATACGTTGCATAGATGACATTCGCAAATAAACCATCTACCACAGAGAACACAACTACATCAAAATCAGGCTTCTGTTTCAGTCGAACAACGGAACATTTAGATACATGTAAATCGCAAACTAAAAGACTTAAAGTCAACTACTGTCATGATATGTAGGCAGATACATCTGTTTTCAAAAAATGTATTCCAAGTCAATCCAGTTTCTTCGTAGTCATAATCAGACAGATCAAAGTAGGGTAGTATAAATACCTGTATTCCGCTCAGAATACTCATTATTGTAATTATAAATATCAGCATTGTGTGACAACTGACCGTAAATATGAATGTTTTCTGTTTCGCTGCATAATCAGTCCTTCGAGTGAACAGATAAACAGTTTTGACCAAGCATTGTCCTTAGTATTCATAATAAAAAAGTGTATACTGTAACAAAACTAATTTATATCCCATGCCTTGGTTTGCAGTATTGGTTTCATTTTCAGGTAGCGATATCTCTTAGAGAAACTTTGAAAGCCAGAGTATTGAACACCTGCTTCATTTGACTTTGGGACTCTTTAGCAGAAGGCAGAGACAGACCCAGAGCCTTCAGGTTACGAGGTGAGCCCGTAAACCGTTCGGCTACAGAAATGGAATCCAACGGTCCTTAAATTATAACTTCTGCAGAGCCAGAGACAGATAACTGATATAAGTTTATGACCTAACTTGAAATTTCTGCAACTCAACTGATGATAAGAATGATGCCTGAACTTATGCATGATGTTGAAATGAACTGTTTCTACAAAACTGCGTCTTCATCTTCCGTTAACATAATGAATACTTATATAAAAAGTACAGTGTTGCCAAAATCGAAGGGTAACCATGCAATAAATTTCACCTGGTGAAATGGTCCAGTATTTAAAATATCAACTAGACCTTTTCAGTCAAAAATCAATAGCACATAATCCTTATGGTTTCCTGTGAGATAGTAGAGGTGTATATTTAAAGTGTAACGATAAACAGCACACTGTACGATTCATGGAATAAAAGCAACTGCTAACCATTTATGCTGAGTTATTAATTGATGCTAGAAACTTCGAAGATGGAATGTTTCACTTTCTTAATTGACTCCTTTAACCGATTAAATTATTAATTGGTGGCTGGTGACTAGCAGTGGAATTCAGGATGCGCATCTCGTCCTACTTGGGACTCGTCATCTGGATGAACCTGCATTCCGCAGTGTTTAAATCATGTTGAAACACGTGTTGTATGTTTTTACTGTACGCGTTACATACCCAACAAAATCAAGAATCAGTCGTTAACGTATATACAGATAACTAATTTATAGGATCATGCAACAACTACACGCTTGTTACACAGATTAGGATATAATACTAACAGTGCTAAATTTTACTACATGAATAAAGATACATGAAAAATGGTGTTGTAGAGAGCATAAATTTATCCTGTCAAATGATGCTTTACAATATGGAACATCATTTTACTTGTTTCACAAGAGGATAGTTTAACAGTGACAATGATTTTGTCAGTTTTGTGTTATTGTGTGAAGTAATTTAAAACAAAAAAGGTTGTATGTGTTCTACAACATTATTTTTGTATCTTAAGTATGAGAATAATATAATCAGATATTAATATTTCACATGAAAGAACTTAAAACATAAGGGTTGTTTTACAGGATAGATACTTTATCAACAAAAGTATCATCCTACGCAGAATTTTATAAAATAAGATGTCGAGAATAAAGGAAAGTTTTGAATATATATCTGGAATCTGTCTTCCTTAGAATTCAAATATATATTTTGATTCTCTTACTAAGAGTGTATGAATGTATTATGATGACTGAATGCATCCTGTGTATTCATTCCATTATTTTATTAGCACCCACTGAAAACTTGAATTCTATAACCTCAGAGGTTCAAAACAGAATCATTTAGTGTCAATATCGAAGATATCAGTATATCTACTCAGTTCGGACTAAGTCCAGTCCTAAATTTGTTAAAAAAATCTATTAATCCACATTAGATTGGGATCGTTAAGTGAGATGGCTTGACATCTGCAATTAATCGCTCAGGGTTACATTTGAAAGATTATTACATCAGTTCCTCAAGATTTCAAATGGAAATGAATAAAAGCCTGGTCTTCGTTCACATATTCCTTTTCGTATAGACACGAATGTTTGTGCTTTAGTTCTAGTGGCCTAAATATATTACTGGTAAAAGTTTTGGTTTCTACACACTTATGGGGATTTGAAACTGTCTAGGAACGCCAGTATACCCTAGATTAGAGTAAGACTTGCAGTTGTATTTTGATGAGGGCTTAATCTATTTTCACTTATTTCTATCCGTGGATAACAATCAAAATATATATCCTAAGGAATTACAGTTTATTTGTCATACTTTTACTATGACTAAGCATTTTAAAAATAGCTCTTCATTGTTAAATCAGTTGAATGTGCTTTAAATAAACACTTCGTGTCAAGTGATATAATTTAGCGTCCAAAACAGTTGAAAAAGGCTTAGATTTAGATAGATTACATAATTGGTTCACTGGTAGAATACTTGGCACCAGTGCAAGTGGTCCAGGGTTTAGTTCCTGGCCAACGCACTCCCGAACCTCTCCTAGCCGGCAATCAGCTTAGTAAAGAGGGAAAGTTTGGAGTGAAGTTAGCAATCCCAGGCAGTAGAAGACAAAAATTACCACTGCTGAAACTTCGTAGTTCAAGCTTGAAGCACCATGTTCCAATGGGGACGCATAGGAATTAAATAAGTAATAAATAACAATAGATTTAGATAATGTATGATTATAACTAAAGGTTGGATGAGCATGTGCTATAGATTCGATGAAGGATCTTCGTGGTATTTAGTGTTTAACATGAAATAGTATATTTAAAATAACCAATTTATGCATATTTGCCATGCGTTTTCGGCCACTAAAGTTTCTGTGAATATTGCTGACCATGAAATTTAATCTTGGTACTCAGGAGTGATACGCTTATTTAAAGATTTAAAAGTTCGTTTTAATTACACTACTTCTAAGGGATCCAAGCATCTGAAAAATTCAAACCTGTCAGACTGACTTTTATTTCACCGTCAATAGTATTTAAATAAAAAGCGTGTCTATCAAGAAAGCACAAGTATTTTTAACATTTTTAAGGGTAAAATAAAATGAATAAAAGGTATGTGAATAAAAATCACTGAATCAACAAGTTTCAACTTACTTTGACTACACTGATGTTGACACTAGTAATTTCACTTCATCTCTACTTTTTGTCTATTATTAATAGCATCCTCCATAATATAAATAGTTTTATTTTAGAAACATTTTGTCTTCACAATGGTTCCCAATAATATTTAATTATCTTTGTATGCACTGAGTATGGAAACCTATTGCACGTTTTCACATATCATCACATGAAAAGAATCCTCACTTTTCACATATATTTTAAGTGACCATCTATGTCAGTAATTGGTTGGCCAATTAAGTTCATTGGAATGGAAACATACTTCTAAAAACGGATTGGTTAATTTTATATCCAGACTACAAAAATAAAATATAAACTACCAATAACTGTGAGGCATATTTTTAACGTACAAAAACGATAAGTTTTACTGTCCTTGTATCGTCCAGGAATATACATCAGTGTTATCAAATGTGACAAGAGTTCATTTTTATTTAACTGTGCGAAACTCTTGTATTTAGGAAGTAGTATATTGCATATATGTGTATAAATTAATCTTTCAAGACATTCGAATGTTAGTTCTGTAGGGGTTTGATTGGTTTCAAGTTTGACTGGAGGGCTTTCGAAAACTGGGGAGTACTGGGTAGCTTTTTCGTCCCACCTTGGAACTCTTCAACGGCATGCATCTATAACCCAACAGGGGAACAAACCGAGAACTCTCTGGTTACGAAGCGAGTTTCGGTAAGTGGTAGTGACCAGTAAAGTCCACGACGTCGGGTGTGAAGACAAATACTAACGGATGATACTGACTGATAGTGGCGCTGAAAGTAACAGATTGAGAGAAGTTAGAATTCATAGGTCATGGGATTACTCTACAATGTTTGAATGGTCAATAAGCTCGTCCTAAAGTGAGACGAAACATATATCTAGTAGACCTTGGTTTTCACTGGTTCTCCAACGGATATTTGTTCGTAATCAAACTTGACATTTTACAGTAGGCTGATTACGTAATGCAACATAATTCTAAATAGTATGACTAATTAGGATGTTTTCATAAGATTGTGATACCAGCATGAAATGAGTTATTTGTCCAGCAGCGCATTATTGTATTTAAATGCAGTACAGAGACATTCAGTTCCTGGATGCTTGTATCATGCTATAGTTGAATTTAGAAATGATGAAAAATTTAACTTATGTATAACAAAATGTGAATGTTTTACCACTACAACACTGATGATCTTTCCAAATCATTTTTGCACTATCCCACAGTCATCAACTTTATCTAACCGTATTTTAAATAACCTCTTACTATGTTCATACAAGGATAATTTATTTGAAAGAATGGAGAATATTTCAAACCTCCATGCCATGTGGAATGGGTCAGTTAGTTTTAATTATATTTTAATAGTTGTTTATACAGACTTGTAAGTTTTTCGATTCTGTTAGTGCTTCGAGCAAAATTACCAAAACCAACAATCACTGAAACATAAATGTAATTGATTAAGAGAATTTGTTTACAAATGTTTCGCATGTCATAATATGTATTTTCAGAAGAATATTCCGTTTTATATGTAATTTCAAAGTTCTACATTTCACTTTGGTTAAAAAAGACCATAAGGCAAGTAATGGAGAATTCCTTTCCATTGTATATTGTCTACCTAATAAAAATCCCAAAAGCCACCAGGTAGTTACTGAATACTTTAAATGACACAAATTATATTAATTGGTTTGAAGAAGTCCAAACTTGGCATACAAAGAAAATTCCAGCCTCTACAGCAAATCTAGCCTGCTTTGGAGCCGTAAATACTGTACTATGTCATAACTTTTAGGTGTCTGTCTGTCTCTTTGATGTGTGTGGGCGGTTTTTACTTCCCGGCTGCCCACACTGTGAAAGTTGATTGGTTCTTCGGGTACCTGAAACAGAGAGAGGGTTAGTGTTGCGTGACCGAAGAGCCTAGGGGACAAATGCTTGAGGCCGGTCACACACTGCCCGTATGAACTGCTTTCTTGAATTGGTTCCGTATTAGTAAACTTACCACCGGTTACGGACCACCGTAGGGTAAGTCGGCATGTACAATTTTTCAGATCGAAATTTTCTAACTCCCTCTCTCCGGAGTGGAGAGACAGTATAGCTGGCATGCTGGTCATCTGAGAGAAACACCTCACTGCTGTTACACCCCTGTTCCCCAGCAGTATGACTTTGCCCTCAGACCCCCAGCATAGTGTAAGAAAGATTCTTACACAATGCCGGTAACTGCTTTTAGTCTAATCGCTATCCTAACAACCTTCCTGGCATGGTAGGACCTACAGGAACATTAGTTCCAACCAGTGTAGCTTGTTGGGTCATCGCAATGCGCAAGCCTGACCACCACGTCAGGGTAGCAGCTATCGGTCGGGACTTTTAGGTGTGACATTTATTTCTGTAAATATACATTCCCAGCCCCCCAACCATTGTTAACTACTTTTCTTTTAATTAAACCAATCCGATTTATTCAACTATGCAACTTGATTTAGCCTTGGTTCCAATGTTTCTCTCAGTAAACTGGTCCAAACATCATCAGAAAAATGAACAAAATTAAATAAAAGTAGTATGGATATATAAGGCAACATCTGGTCTTTAAAATTCATATCCACTTTGCCTGAGTCATGAATACACCTCAAAAACAAAATAAACTAGTTTGCTAAAAATACGTAAGAATTATTTATTTCGATTTCACTGAGATTTACACAAATATAATTTCTATAACTATCCACTTTTCACTCGGTGCCCAATTATTATTCAAATATTCGGTTAATTCTAAGTTAGAGTTCATATGAATTAGTCTTAGTTGTTCAGTTACACACTGACACACACACAGATATGTCAACATCTACTCCATTTCCTCTTGTTGTTTTTCTTGTCATTCATTTGAAATTTATTATCGTACTGAGTATAAACTAATTGCAACAATAACTGTGAGCATTCACTATCATATTTTCACTGTTACTTATGATCGTTTGCATTAGTGTCTGACTCTCAAATGAGTGCTATATTTATGCATATTATCATATTCAGAGTTTTTAGTATTAATAAAGTAAATTTTAATTTACATTCAACACTTGGATTTTTGATCTCAGTAATTTAGTTATGTAAAAAATGTTATTCCTTAGTTATTATGGATATATGACTGTAGAACTTGAAGGAGGAATTTTCAAAAATAATATTCTTTGCTCAATAATTGGTATTTTAAAATCTATAGCGCGCATTTTTAAAAAGTTTGCATTTTTAGGTATGTTTCTTATCCCGTGCTTTTCTAGGAATCGAAAGCTCTTTCCATTTTTAGATCTTAATCCCCATAGTCAGTTGCACAGCGGTTAGGACTCTCGCTGACCATGCACATGATCCGAGGTTCAATCCCCTGCCGACACACACCTGATATCAATTATCGGCTTGCAAAATTTGGGCTACCAATATCACATGCTGAAAATTCCATAATTGTACCAAAAATAATCTGTGGAATCAAGCTACAATCAAAAATATTTTTAAAAAAATAGTCAACGCCAATTAACTATCACACTGGCCACCATCCTAAGTCTTCTATTGTCACGTTTAATCATAAAGAAAAAAATTGCTTCTGTTCAGCGAAGAAATCTTCTTTTAACGACTTCACTTTTAGCCATCCGGTTTTATTTATAACACCGAAAAATGCATTAAACATGGTTTTTTAAGTGAGTAGAGATGAAGTGGATGAATTACAAAATTTTAAACGATTATTAAATAAGTGAATTGGTGATTAACATTTTAAAAGGCATGTCAAGAGTTGTAAAACGATTATAACAGTGAGATGATAATGAGGATAAAGACGAAGAGGAAGTGAGGTGAAATGAATTCAAGTGATATATATATATATATATTATAAAGAGGAACAGAGTTGGTCTGGATACATTGAATATTATAGCACTTTAGTGAATGAGTGATTAACGGAAGAGATTTTTCAGAAAGGAATTACAACCTCGTATATATGAACTACTATTAAAGTGAGTAATAATAGTTGGGCTGAATATAATGCGTACGATTTATACAAAAATATGTACTTTTACTCTGACTAAACTCAGCACCTGTTTCAAGTCCTAGAATTCCCAGGTAGAGTAATGTTGTCATAGCTTACTTAGTGATCTTTAGGCATCCCCAGTCCGTAGGATTGATTTTAAAATTATTTTAGAAGCCACATTTCCTAGGTCTGAGTCCATTTTTCAGTGTTGTAAACAAAGCTGCTGTGGATATTTGAATTAGGATTTTGATGCCATGTGTTTCTTAAGCATCGTATGAGAGAGAACGTACTTATTTAAGACATTTTTGAGAGCGATTAGTGTTGTTATCGTGATGTCCATTGAGATTCACTTTGATATTTATTCATAAAAACAATCAAAATTCCGAACTTTTCTCAAAAGCCTCTATTTCTTTTTGTACTGTTACATGGACAGATTATTTAATACGGCAGAGTAAAGCATTATATGGTAACCGATTTCAAAAATATTTTCTTATTAAGGAACTTAGAATTTCTTTTGCAGATTTCGATAACTCTTTATTTTTGAAGAAAGTACTTACATATATTAAAAGAAGCATTCATGAGTAGCATTCAGAGAAGATAAGTTGCCAGATTTTCGAGGAGATTTCTCAGTAAACAAAATAAAAATATGGAAAGTTTTTAAACGACGGAAAATCAAAACCAATCTTAAAAAGTAATTTTTTCGAAGGATATCAGTTATGAAGGGAAACAGGATAAGAGTAGGTTTTCTATGGAAAGATCTATCATAGACACAGTCACGAACTTATATATTTATATAATCACATTTCTGTATACACCAAGTTTTCTTTTACTACTTATTCATAACAAAGTAAAATCAAAAAATACATCTTATGAATAAACTACCTAAATTGAAAATTCAGATATTGTAGACTAATCAGAGAATAACAAGAAATGTTTGGGGATTAAGGATTTAGGATTTTCATTCTGATAGCCTTTTTTCTGCATGATTTTTATTTTCGGCTGAATAATTTTGTTTCCTAATTTTAGGTGATATTCACAAAAAAGTCCAATTTTCGGTCGTATAAGCCCTACTAAGAGTACTTTATTAGGTAGGTCTTGTCAGGCATTTATTACCGATTTGTGCAGCTTCTAAAGTAATATCGTAATGTTTTGTAAATTTGCCCCCTAAACAATAATTTTTCCCTTACACTACAACTTTGAATATATATATGCTT